TTAAACACATGAATATTTATTTGGAATGAGAAAGAAATTTAAATTATTAATTATAGAAGATGGCATATCATAAAATCCAGAAAAAATAATATTAATAATTAACTGACATACTTTTTCTACAGTTTTTGGTTGCTTAGTCTCTTCATATGACAGCTATTGGGCACTATCACATTCTGTACAGACAATGGAAAAGATCATTGTTTATTGAAATTGATCATTTCAATAGAACTTCCTTTTTAAAATGTAGATGGTCGTGATACATAAAGCACTCAACTTTACATACAAAATAGAGACACAGTGCACATAACCTGCAAACACAAGAATTTTGATTAATTCTATTTTCTGTGTCCCATTTTAAAAAAGAAAAGAAAAATGGTGCGGTGATTTATAATTATACTAGTAGCCCTGTGCGTGAATCAGTGCACCAGTAGCTCACCAGTAGCTCTATAGCTGTTGCCCTGCCCTCCTGTAGCTCCCCCCTTCAGCCTTCCTCATAGCTTGCTGCCTTGCCCACTCCTGTAGCTCTTTGCCACCCACTTGTAGCTAACTGCTCCACCCTCTTGCTGACCCATGATCCAAGGTCATTTGTTACATTTCATGGTGTAACAACCATTTGCATATTACATCTTTATTATATGGGATATGCTGAATTGAGTATAACCTTGACAGGAGAGAATTTCTGTTTTGACTAGGTGTCACTGAGGATTGAATCCTGCTTTTGAAATTTTACATGACAAGCTTTTGACTTTTCTACTACCCACCTATTTCTGGAGCTGGCCACTATAGGAGATGTTTATATAGCAATGTGTCTTTTGGTCCTGCACCTTCATTACACCATGCTTGGTGAGTTGGCACCAAGGGTGAAATAATTCCTGAAAGACACTTCTATACCAGGGAGCTTGCAATAATGTACTTCTACAGGGAAGTGTCTGCAAACCATATATATATATATATATATATATATATATATATATATATATATATATATATATATATATATATATACCATTGCACCCAAACTATTTGAACCCCTAATTTAATTTCCTGTTAGTTAGACCTCCAGAAAGCATGCAATTCGTCCAAAGTCAGACAACATAAAAGGAAGTTGAAGAAGGGTCTACCGTAGCTGCTTTGGCTCTCATATCAATGTTTTTCTCTGTGTGTGTGTGTGTGTGTGTGTGTGTGTGTGTCTTTTTCTCCTTCTCTCTTTATCTCCCTCTCCCCTCCTTCTCTTTCATCTGTCTAAAAAAATTAATGGGAAAAAATATCCTCAGGTGAGGATTAACAACAACAACAAAAATTAAAAGTATAATGCTGGCAATGCATTATTATAGCCCCTCCCAGGGCCAAAAAAGGGCCTGAGCAAGGGAGGACCTGAAACTTCAACTTCATTCTCTGGACAGCAAACTTCTTGTGAATCAAAGAGAAATACAGATTGAAGATTGTCTTTCCTCTGACATTTTTAACATGACCACATGTTGTGTGTGTGTGTGTGTGTGTGTGTGTGTGTGTGTATGTGTGTGTTACTAGAAAAATTACTGTACTCAGCATATCTAAATTGTCCCTTTCCAGGCAGGGTTATTGACAACAGATGTTTCCATTACAGTATGTTTGGCTGACAAGGCTCCTTATTGCAGTCATTCTTAGAAAATTGCTCACTGCCTTCCCTGTTCCATAACCTATTGATGGGTCAAGTGATCTATCTTAATTTTAGAGTTGCAGACTGGAGTTTATTGTTTCATTTAGCTCTTGTAAGCAGACAAGGAGTGTGCTGGAGAAAGAGGAGCCCTCAAAAGATAGGGAAAGACCACAGCATCAGGCATCAGAGAATCTGCGTTCTGAACCCTGCTCAGCTTATAATTCGCTTAGTGACTTGAAAGGGAGCTACCTTCGCAAGTCAGTAAATGTGTCAGCAACATCAGTGGTTTCTAGGAGTCCAAGGGTTCTGCAGAGGTGCTTCAAGAGTGGGTCATCCCTCATCCTTGCTCTTTTGCTGTTTTATGTGTTAGAGTAGAGTTTGTTTTAAGATTTTTTTTTCTCAAAATGGTTGGACTGTGGGGAATAAAAGAAGGCCATTTTTTATTTTTTTTATTTTACAAAAATCCCAAACACTTGAAATGACCTGGGAAACTTTTTAACAGTGCTAATTCCATCACAGAGCTCAGATTTTGAATTTGTTCAAAGTTTCTTTTGAATCCTGCTGCACTGAGAGACATTATTCTACACCAGTGGTAAGCAACCTTGTCTACACTTTAGGATCATTTGGGAAGTTTTTAAAATGCTGACCATTGTGACTGTTATTTAATTGACTTGAGCATAGAGATTTTGGTTATCTCCTCAGTGGTCTCTGGTGGGCATCAGAATTGAGAACCCATAGTGGAAATAATCACTGAATTCTGACAAGTTCTAACAACCTGTGTATGAAAAAAAAAAAAAAAGTAGAAGTGGGCTGTCCCTCTCCCCAGTCTCTTATAGATATTTATTGAACACGGCATTTCTGTTTTATAGCTAAGCTATGTCATTCTCTCATTGGTTGGGGCAAGTGTCAGAGGAAAGACAGCTGGTGTGGGGGATACGTCTAGCTTCTGGACACTCATGAGTGAAGAATTTCTTGCTATTCACCATACCCACAAGAATCAGGGATTGTTATTCTTGTGAGACATACCGTGTAGCCATGCACAAGTGGGTCAGATTCTCTACTTTTAAACCAGGTTATTCATAAACTTAGTTGATTGGAATCAAAGAACATTTCAGATATGATTCCAAGAATCTGTGATCATTTCCTTAATTTATGGAATATAATTTCATAGAAAATCAAGACTTAATTTCCTTCAGACTCATATGGCATTTTCCCCCTCTTATTGAACTTTGTAAAAGGGCCAGTAAGTGATGATTTTGTGTTCCTATGTTGTCCTAATACGACCTTGACCTAAAGAATTGTAGGAGCTGAGTTACTAAATAGAGATTTTCATGCAGCATGAACTTCACAGCTGAGTTGGGAAACCATGCTTTGGGAGCCTCCAGAGGAAGTTTGCAAAGATACAAATAAGAACTTCCCTGGTGTTTGGCTTCAACTTTTGTGCATCCCCAAACAGCAGCGGATGTCACAGTGGGTGGGAAACCATTGACTCATTCATCATTTATAGTACATTTATTTCTTCACTTATTCAGTCCAGGCATATATATTTAAACATAGCCTCATACTAGGGCCTGGTTTCAGTGTTAGGGTCATGTTCAGAAATGAGACAGAAGTCAGAGAACTGTAAGTAAAAATTTGCTTGGTTTTTCAAGTGGAATGCCTCAAGGCCTGGAGTTCTAGGGGGTAAAGAGGGGTGGTTTTACACATCCATTTTAATGATTATCTAAAGTAATCATATTCTGCACTATCTGGAAAATGACCTAATAACCAAGGATGTGATTTTGGGGCCCACGCTTTGTCACCATGGTCACTCTGGTACCACATGCCTCTAATTTAATTGCGGCGGTTGAGTAAGATGAAAATAATCATGGAGGTCTTATTCTTAGGGAATGAAGTGTGCCTACCTGAGGACCAAATGGAGTAATAATCCCCAGATAAAGATTGTGTGGTAATTTGAATGGAGAAACTCAGTAGAGGTTCTGAGGGATGGTTCATGGCCAGGGGGATGATGTGCTCATTAGATGCTGTGCTGGAGTCCGTGGTATTACACTATGCACTTTAGTTTTAGCAAATCACCTTCCCTTATATTAGTCTGTTCTTTCCCATTTTGAATGATAAATGTTGGTGGCTTTGTTTAGATTTAATTTAAACTTTGGTTTGGTTTTATCATTTTATAGAAGTGATCATTTTACTCAGATTTGTGTTGGTACCTAACTAGTAGTGCTGGTAAAAAGATAATTTGTGTCAATAGCAGAGATTTGGAAAAGCATCCTTACTTTAAAGGAGGTTGGGATATTACTATTGGCAAATATTGTTCTGACTTATCTCACTCTGCTGTGATCACTGTTTAACTAGTTCATTTCTTCCATTAGCCTGCAAGCTCCTGGTAGACATGTGTACACTTTATTTGACTTTGAACTACTTTTGTGTTTATTAAATAAATGAATTGATTGATACAAATTAGAATTGTCTGACTCCTAAAGACTAAATTTAATGGTAGTGAGTTCTCTGTCAAGGGAAGCATGTAAGCACAGGCTATTACATATTGTTAAATATTCCTGGGTCAGGTGAGGTTTAATTTGAGTGCCATTCAACACTCCTTTGAATTTTGGAATAGAGAGATTATCAAAATTGTTACTTTTGCCACTGACTTTCTGGTAATTAAGAATGATTGCATTTGAGCCCTAGCTGGTCTAGCACAGGGGATAGTGTCAGCTGGATCCTGGGTTGGATTCTGGTCAAGGGCACATGCCGGGGTTTCAGACTCAATTCTCAGTAGGGGCTATGCTGGAGGGGCACCAGTTGATGATTCTTTCTCATCCTTGATGTTTCTATCCCTCTTTTTCCCTCTCCCTTTCTCTCTGATATCAGTTTAAAAATTTTTTTTTAAAGAATGATTGCATTTTAGGTCATTATCCCCCAAATAAATTACCTGAATGTTAATATCATAGCACTGCAGTAAACTGCTGGGGTTATTTCATTTCCTCAGATGAATTCCAAATTGACCCCTAGGACTTCAATAGATCTTAAGTGTCTTCCTCACAAAGATGTTGGATTCTTAGAGACCTTTGGGAATGGCTTCCTGGGGTCCCTTCCCTCCAAGGATACGTGTGGATGGGGAAGTCTACACACATCATGAGAGATGGCTGCGTGAACAGAGAGGGCTGGGCGAAGCAAACGTCCAGAGGAGCCACTTTTGTCCAGAGGAAGCAGACTTTTAGAGTGTCCAGAGGATGGAAATGTACGGACAGCAGCCAGCCATATCTCTCCATCAGTTGATTTTTTTCCTCCCCTTTCTTCCCCCCCATCCCTCTCTCAGCAGTTTAATGTGAGTGCTTCTCTCTCGCTTCGTTTGTTTCAGATGCCTCAGGAACAGTACACACACCACCGGAGCACCATGCCCAGCTCCGAGGGGCCACAGGTGTACAAAGTGGGGATTTACGGCTGGCGGAAAAGATGCCTGTATTTCTTCGTCCTGCTGCTGATGATTTTAATACTGGTCAACTTGGCCATGACCATCTGGATTCTCAAAGTCATGAACTTCACAATCGTAAGTAAAACCACACAAGTTTCTTTACCTCTCCTTGTGGGGAAGGGACCTGTGTGGCGAGGAGGAACGTAGAAAAGCAGCTATCGTAGGATTCAAAATGATTGGCAACCTGGTGTCTTGGTTAAAAAAAAAAAATTGTTCAAATGACATGGGAGGATGGACTTCTGTCTCCTGACAGTTCCTCGGGGGCTGGTTATCTAGTTTAGAGGCATCATCTTCTATACGACCCTCAGTATTTGGTTGCTCATTCTGATAACTATTCTGTTTCCTGTAGCATACAAGCACTTTGAGAAAATGATGCAGGAGGAAATATGGGATAAATTCAAAGGGTTAAGTTTTCCCTAATTTTAGTAATGCTTACGAAAGGATTTGTGAGGTAGAGGGTTGGAACATGGAGAGGAAATTAGACTTTGGGGATTACCTAAGTATTTTAAGAGTTTGTACCTGGTAGCCCATTATTACGATTAATCAGGAGTCTCCTTGATTTTTTTGGGAGGGCATTTTCTTTGCCACCATCGGATGAGAGGAAATAAGAGGAACAGAGCCATGCTTCATTTTTTAAGAACTTAATGTTTATGCTGCTTTGAAGGAAATTTGCTGTTGGTACTTAGGGCCACTCTACTGATTGAATATTTACTGGTTGAAGTTCAAATTAAAAGAAAGTCTTGGCAAAATTATTTCTGAAGTTATTATGATATAATAATAACTTCAGAAATAATAAATAACTTCAGTGTGTTTTTTTTGTGTTGTGTTTTTCCTAGAGATTTCCTGGCCATTCTAGCAAGCTAAGTAATGCATTAATTAGTGTGGGTGTAGAGGGCACCAATCAGCTGTCATTAGAGTCCTTTCTTGTGATGTCAAAAGTCTAATTAGATTGACCAAAAAAAAAATCTTGTTTGATAAAGCAATGAGCAGTCAGGTATTTAAGTGACATTCCCACATAGGAGAGTGGATATTGGCCTTTTCTGATTAATCAAGGTTCTTTTTATCCTTAACATGCTATGAGTGGTCACACTCCCTGGCCTGGGCAGTAACTTCTGCTTAAGCTGCTTTTCCTGTCCTCCCTGCCTCACAAGACCTTTCCTGGGGTCCCTCAGCTCCTTTTCTGCATCTGTTATTATACTTATCGCTCCGGATAATCATTTTTGCATGCGTTTCCCAGGCAGAGTGAACTTGGAGAAGAGCAAGGGCTGCATTTTTCTCTGAGTGCCTTTATTCATCATTAATGGAAGGGTTACATGGTGTTTAATTAGGACTTAATTAGGACCCTGTAAACCGAGGTCAGAGACACTGATTCAGGCCTCAGAATGGTTCACTCTAGTGCTGGTTGTTAAAACTAGGAAACTATCTGATTTTACACATTTCTTTCTTGAGAAGAAAAAAATAGTTTAATTTATTGAAAAACAGAGAAAGACTTTGGTATTACAACTTGAAATTTGGAAGAGGATACGGGTCAGTGTCCATGGGATTGTAGGGGTTCAAGGTAATATGCTCTGGACTAGGGGAGCACATTAGCTTCTGTTTATGAATCAGATGCAGTAGACACTTTTTGAACTTGGACTTACTTTCTTTATAGTCAAAGAGAATTCAGAGAAGCGTTTTTATCAGATGAGAGATGTGATCAGATTTGTGGTCTACATGCTTGCTCAGGAGAAGATGCAATATAATGGGGAAATTTTCTCAGAGTTTAGGGCTCTGAAGACCAAATCCTGGGTCCACATGTTCTTAAGTTTTTGTGCCCATAATTGCCAGTTGTTGATGTTCATGTTCTGTGGTGTTTTTATTTTGAGGTTTACAAACTTGTAAAATGGAAAAGCTTCTCAATTACCATATTAAATAAGGGAAGCCTGAAGGCCGGATAGGAGAATGGACAATAAAAATTCAAAAGCCATTTAAAGGGATGTTGTTGACACATCTGACCATGTACTGGTTGAAGGTAGGAGCTGAGGTATTAGAAGACATTCTGAAATTCTCCCAGGTTGTAGCTGGTGAGATGGTTGGGTCATAGGACCCAAAAAAACAGAATAGAATGCCTTACCTTCCCATTGGAGCTGCGCTGAAAATCCTGTATGCCATGAACTCCCTATTTGAGGCTATTTTTGTTATTTTTACCTAGGTTGGCATGAAGTTAATTTATAGAACCTGAAAGACTTAGCAGTGATTGTGATGAATATGAACTAAAACGCTGATAAATGTGATATAATACTAATGTGGCTCCTGAAGTGCGTTTAATCTGGCCAGCCTAATAATGAGAGGTCCATGTAAATGTAAATTGAGAGACAATTCATTCTGAGAGTGTGTGAACTTAGGGAGTAATACGACATTAAAGTAATAATCTATATGAAATAGGCTATTTCCCATAGTTAAGGAAATTGATTGCCAAAGTTGAGAGTTCTCAGAGCTTTACCAAACCAAGTACTTACTGGGGTGAGAATGATGCCTTTATTAGCCATAATTGGTGCTTTATAACAGTAATGCATTTGTGCAAATAGAGCTGAATTGTCAGAAAATTGATCTTTCCCTGAAACTTCAGAGCATATGTTCCCATCCATCACAGTGTAAAGCATATCCTTTTAGAGTTATAATTCTATTCCACAAATAATAATTTCCTGACCAGGAAGATCTTAAAAATGAAGGAGGTATTAACCCGTGTTACATTGGAGCATGTGGGGTTGAGAGAGCAAAGGAAAACAATGAGATGATAGCCCGGCGTTTTCGGCAGGGACTTAAAAATATTGCCAATAGGAAAGAGTGATCATTCTGTACATCTGGAGTATTCAATAGTTTGGGACTTGGGAAGGCTCACTCTATAGTCAAACCCTCTGAGTAATAATAAACCAAGAGAATGATGTCATCTGACTGTATTTGTGAGGACTTGGCAATGTACCCAAGATTGGATATCCAGAATGTTCTTGTCGTCTGGCTTGCATTCCATACTATCCCTAAGGATGTATGCTGGAAGAATCCTTTTGTTATAACCATCTGGACAAACATCCAACTAAGTTTTCTTTGTCCCAGATGTAAGTCTGAAGAAAAATGAGGTTGTCCTCCTCTGCTCTAACAGGATATTGTGGTGTTCCTTTCGAGGCAGGAGAGCAAGGTTACACTCTTCTGCTCAGTTTTCTCCCATGTGGGGGAGTGTGCGGTTTACTTATATTGTAAACACCTATAAATCAGTCCATCCTAGTTCATCACAATCTGTGCTGTACAGAGGGACTAATATTTATTATATGTCTGTTCTGTGCTGGTCACTGTGCTTGGTATTTAAAATATCCCATATAAATGTCAAAACAACTCTAAGATTAGCGATTTTTTATTATCTCCATGGTAATAAATGGAAACACAGGGCTCAGAGAAGTGGTTGACTTCCTGGAAGATACACAATGAGTAAGTAAAAGAACTGTGCTTGGCTTATTAGCCCGAGCCGTTCCACCACACTGTACCCCTCCCCCTAATTGCCACAATGGTCTGGCTCCTCAACTAAACTCTGAAGCTGCCCAAATCGTCCATTGTCTTTATTGCCCACCTATGTTATCCAATCACAAATGTCTTTCCACCTGAGGAATCCACAGACATGTCCTGCCTCGAGTAGTTTCCTGGTGGTTCTGAATGTCCAGTCCTTCTCTCACTGCTCCTTGCCCCGGAACTGATGATTTCTGTCTTTCCACTGTCTCCACCTTCTGTTTTATCATCTTGTTCTGTTAACGTGAACATTTAATATAAACTTACTATTAATATCTAGGTCATAGGTTGGTGTGATAACTGTCAGCTAATTCCTGATAAGCATTTATAGCAGCCTCTGATGCAGAGGAAGACACAAAAGTTGTCAACAGAAAGTCACAAGCCAGCCTACACCACAGCGTAGTGGTCAAGGGCTCAGACTCCAGAGACAGATGTTCTAGCTACAAACTTGCTTTCTGCCACTTTGGCAAGTTTCTCAACCTCTCTGCACTGCAATCTCTTGGGAGTAATAACAATACCTACCTATTCATAGGATGGATGTAAAATGTAAATGAGGTAATGAGTGCAAAGTGCTTGAAATGGAGCTTGGCACATAGAAGTGCTTTCTGAGGAGTATTTGCTACCATCATTATCATCAGTTATTGAAGGCTCATTTTGTGTCAGGCACTATGCTATTGCAATTAATAAGCATTATCAAACCTAATCCTTATGCAGATAGGCACTGTTATGATACCAACTTCACAAGGCAGGGGAGAGCCTCAGTGACTTGATTTGAGATCTCACAGCTCTAACATAGTACAGTAGAGATTTGAATCTATTCCTACTGTCTGTTAGCCAGTTGGATAAATTGTGGGCCGTGCAGAACGCCCTAGCATGAGTGTCAGGGAACTGGATGCCGAGGCAGCCATGAACCACATCACCTTGTTCTCTGGGGCTCAGTATAGAAATGAGTGTGTTGACCTAGGTGCCCTTTAAAAGACTAGAAGGCATCTTCCTGTTAGAACACTCTGGTTTTGTCTTGGGGCTCTGCCTTGACAGAATGAGAGCTCACTCTGTGAAGGGTTTCTGCTTCTGCCAATACATTCTGGCCGCCCAGTCCAAAAAACTTGACCTCAAAGACCTCCCCAAATACTATAATATTGATCATCCATATCATTTAGTACAAGTGGTTAATAAGTGGCAAAACTTGAAAGGCGTGGGAACTATCAATAATTGGCCTGATCTTTTAGCCCAATGGGTGTGAAATCATTTGTTTTAGATGAAATAGGAACCTGAGCAGTCACCTCATTGGAAATCCTCATTTTGCCCAGGATTGAAGCAAAGTAGATAGATAGCAAGGTTGCCTGACCCGGAGTCAGCACCTCAACCATCCTAGGAACTTCTCAGGAGCAGGCATTGTGTTCTCTTCACTTTGTAGCCCCAACCTAGTGCCTGGTGTTCGGGTGGCTTCCCGTGTGTTGTCAGTTGCCTTTGTGCAGACCACACATCAAATAATGGATGTCAAGTATCTGGTCAGTGTCGAGCACATGGTAGTTCCT